TAGCTCAAAAAATTCAAAAAATATTCTAACTTTGTAGCGTTTCATTTTTTCAAAAGTCAAGAAAACTCGGTTTTTGGTACCCAATTAGTTCCAATCACTTCTGAACTAAACTCAACCGGTTCTATTTATTATACTAGTACATTTACGATGTAACATACTAATTTTACGCTTTTTTGGTTTCAAAAATTATCGACATCTCAAAAATCGCGATTTGTGGGGGGATCAAAATATCGCTATTTTGACCATAAAAACCGGTCTGCTTACTGTGTTTTTCACTGAAAAACGGTAATGGAGTATTAATATAGGCTATATAAATATTAATATTAGTAATTTTATACCCCTCCGAGTTTGTTCAATACCCGAAGTGATACAAAATTTGTTAACGATAACCAACAGTCGATTGTTGTTGTCGTTGAGCCCCTTCTTGTTGCTCCTTGTACTGCTTGCCGGATCAGTCTTCTCCCAAGACCGCTCCGGATTGAGCGCAAATCAGCAGACCCTTCCGGATTGATTGCAAATTAGCATTAACGTGCTTAAATACTCAAACAACCCTACAGTACAAGCCTCACAAACAAGCTACATAAGGATCGTAACAATCCTGATTGATATAAATGCCTGTAACAACACTATATCTAACAACAACAAACGGGAGGATCGGATCACATCTCGTCTGGAGGGATAATTTCTACTGATTTTCTACTTTTTTACTGTTTTTGGTTTTTTCGGTTACTTTTTTATGTTTTTTTTTTGTTTTTCTTGGGTACTATACTACTTTTTGTTTGGTTTTATAAATGTCTTTAGGTGTTTTTGGTCACAAATCTCTCAGGGAACGAGGGGACGGCCAGCTAGGTTCTAAAACGACTGGCTAGCGTCTAAACACAGCTCTACATGCTCTACACAGCCAAAGCCAGTTCTTTTGGTGGTCTTTCTAACATCGGGTCGACAAAAAAACGTTACTGTTTCCGGCTTCGATCAGAACGCTCTAATTAACTTAGTTATATGCATAAACAGTGATCTCATGGCGGGGTCTCAGTATTCTCAGACCACGAGGTCACTCCTAAAAACAGGGCTACTACTTATTTATTACATTACTATTGTTTTTGTTCAGTAGATAAAAATCATCATCTCCATCAAAGATGGATCAACCCTTGCCCTCAACTCCTAGCTTCTCATGATCTGAAAACGAATTTAGATGATATTAATTCTTTTCAGGACATCTCCAGGAAGCTAAAAGTTGGTTTAAACAATGTTTACGTTCTCTCCCGAGACCCCTCCGGATTCTGGAATCCGGGAATGAACGTCCTCATTTCTTTCCAGAAGGCTTGACACGCCGTCCAAACACCCTTCCTTTTTCTCGGGATTCTCGTTGTAACGATTGTAGCGGCACAATCTCTACACTTCAAAATGGTTGTGGGTCACAATAATCTTCTTATTGTTCGTTTTTCTCGTCTGATTCTTCTCTGTCTAACTTTTACGTTGTTCTCGTCGAGAATCCTGTCGTTATTGTGTTTCGCCGTTTCAGTTGGTGCGAAATCTCAAGGTCGTGACGTGTTTTTATTTCGAAACGGAATTTTAAAAATTAACTTAAAACTCCAAATTAATCTTTCCGAGTTCGTCAGAATGAACGATTAAGACCTCTAATTTGTTAAAACCGTCAATCTTCCTGCTCCGATGTTAAAATAAAATTTCGAATTCGAAATTGCATTTTGACACATTCTGATCGAATGTCACACAATGAAACTAAATTATAATCGATCTTTTTCACTTTACTGAGATGCGAAATTCAACGCACATAAAGTGTTTTCTACGATTTAAATTAAAGTTGGTTACGTTGTTTACTTGTTGTTCCATTGAATTTTTTTCTACCTAACTTTGATATTTTTGTTACTTTTTTATATTACTCAACACTACTCCCCTAGCATTTGCCCATTTAGAACAACCCCCCCCCCCCTCTCCCCCCTCAACTTAACGTATTCAGGGGGGTGGGTTCAGGTGGGGGTATGTGGGTTCAGGTGGTGGGGGGGAGGGAGAGTTGTTTAGGTGGGGGCTGCTCAGATGGGGGGTTGTTCAGTTGGGGGGGGGGGGGGGGGGGGTGGTTGTTGTTCTGGTGGGGCGTGTTCAGG